GAGAGAGAGAGCGAGAGAGAGAGCGAGATGTATGATTTGTTGTATCGATTTTCTTGCTGTTAAATACGACGGAATTGACCATCGTCACTCGGCGCGTCGTAAGCGTCGTTATTGAGGCTTTGCTCGTGAAAGCCCGACTCTATTGAGTCTCCACACTCTCAAGTGTAATCTTGCTTCAAATCTTCGAAATTAGGTTGTTTTGATTAATGCAAATATCTACCTGAACGTTATACGTATTCCAAAATTTCATATTTACGAGAACATGTGCTTCTACTTTCAGGAAGCCGCTATTTTCACAAAAGCAATACCAGTGTGTCATGCGATACGATAGCAGTACTATCTTGAGTTTAGCAATAGAGGTATTTATGAGTCGAGTAAAGGCAGCTTTACCAGTCGAGTGAAAGCAGTACCAAAACGCCATGCAGCAGCAGACAGTACTACTAAGTCATGAAATAGTAGCAGAAACAATTAGTTTAGCGACAGCAGTACTCCTGTATCGAACGAAAACAGTATCACTGACTTGTGCGATGGTAGTACCATCGCGTTTAGTGTTACTGTTTCCGAGAAATATCAGTACACCTGAGTCGAGTGAAAGCAGCACCACTGAGTCACACTGTAGAATAATATTGAATCAAACGATACAATACCACCGAGCCATGACATAGTTGTAAGAATTACTCGATCGAAAGCAGTACTGATGGTTTTTAGCAATAGTCATATTGCTAAAGTGAATGAAAGCAGTACTGCTGATCATATGATGGTAGCACCACCGAGTCAGAGATAGTGGCATTACTGAGTCGGGTAAAATCATTACTACAGAGTGAAGTGAAAGTAGTATCACTGAGTCTTGCTGTAACAGTACTACTGAGCCGTATGATAGTCCTACCAATACTATTGAGTGAAACGGAACCAGCCATGCTGCAGCAGTAGAGTATTACTTTGCCATGAGATAGTAGTAGTACCAAAGAGTTTATTGAAAGTAGTACTTTTGGATCAAATGAAAGCAGCACCGCTGGCTGTTGTTTGGTAGTACCAAATTGGTTAAATATAGTAGTACTGCTGTGTCGAGCTGAAGAGATACGGCTGAGTCGAGTGAATACACTGCTCCTTCGTCGTACTGTAGAATAATACTGAGTCATATGAAAGGAGTACCAGTACGTCTAGCGACAGTACCACTATACCGTTAAGTAAAAGCAGTACTCATGAGTCATGCGATAGTTGTAACAATTAGTCGATCGAAAGTTGTACTAATGTTTATATCGATAGTTGTCCTACTAAATCGAATTAAATTGATAATACCGACTAAGACAACTGTATGCAGTGCCAAAGCGTTTAGCGATAGTAGTATTACTGTGTCGAGCAAAAGCATTACTATTGAGTCGAGTAAAACTAGTATCACTGAGTCATGCTGTTGCAGTACTACTGAGTCAGACGATAGTGATACTAATATATGCTTAAGGTAGTATTACCATTGTTACGAACAAATTTATCACAACTGAGTCAAGTGAAATCAGTACCACTGAGTCATACTGTAGCAAAAAATACTGTCATACGATAGTAACACCAATGTCTAGCGATAGTAATTTTATTCAGAAGGGAAATCAGTACCTTTGAGTCATGCTATAGTTGTAGCAATAAGGCTATAGAAAAGTACCAATGGTTTAGCGATAGTAGTACTATTGAATCGAATGTAAGCAGTACCACTGACCTTTCCGTGGGTAGTATCAACGCGTTTAGCCATCGTAGACTATTGAGGCGAGTGGAAGCACTGCTACTGAGTCGAGTGACAGTAGTAGCACTGAGCCATGCTTTAGACGTACAGTACCGATGAGGTATCAGACAGTAGTAGTACCAATGCGTTTAGCAGCATAAATTATACTGAATCCAGTGAAAGCAGTAATAATGAATCATGCGATGGTAGTAATAACTCGCTTAGGGTTAGTAGTATTACTGAGTCGAGCAAAAGCAGTACTACTGAGCCGCGTGAAAGAAGTGCCCCTGAATCATGCTGTGGCAGTACTACTAAGCCAAACGATACTTTTTTAAATGGGTTAAGCAATAGTAGTACTCCTGCGACGAGTGAAAGTCATATTAAACATTGAGTCATGGGAAAGTGATACAAATCGCAATAGCAGCAGCACTATCGGGTCAGTAGAAACAGTAACGCTGATTTAATGCGATAGCACCAACAATGAGCTTAGCGATAGAAGTTTTACTATGTCGTGTAAAATGAGTACTACCGAGATAAATAATATTATCCCTACCGAGTCATGTTTAATGGCAGGACTGTTGCCACTGTGTCGTACGACAGTAGGATCAGTGAGTTCAGTGATGGCAGTATTAATGAGTTGAGTGAAAGAAGTACCACTGAGTCATGCGATACTAATACCTATATGTTTAGCGATCGTAGCTACTGAGTCAAGTGAAACCAGTATTACTGAGCCGTAGTGTCCCCGAGTCATGCACTAGCTGTAACAATGGGTTTGGCGATAGTAGTGCTACTGAGCCGAATGTAAGCACTACCCCTGGGTCATGTGATAGTTGTAACAACGAGTTTATAAATAGTAGTACTAATATATCGAGTGACAGAAGTACTTCTGAGTCGCGTGAAAGCAGAGGCACTGAGCAATTCTGTACTACCGAGTCGTACGATAGAATCATACTTGTGTTTAGCGACAGTAATACTAGTAAAACGAGTAAGAGCATTGCAACTACCTCATGCGATGGTAGTTCCAACGCGATTAGAGATAGTAGTACTACCGAGTCGGGTAAAATTCGTACTAATGAGTCGAGTGAAAGTAGTACCACTAAGTCATGCGATAGTAGTGTCAATGGGTTCAGCGATGGTAACACTACTATATCGAGTGAAAGCAGTACCAAGGAGTCATTCTATAGTAGAAGTACTGCGTTATGTAATAGTACTACTAATGGGTGTAACGATGATGGCACTACTTAGTTGAATAGAAGTAGTAGCACCGCCTATGTCGAGTGAAATAAACACCACCGAGTCTTGCGTTGGCAGTATTAGTGTGTCGAGCGATATTAGCACCACCGAATACTGAATTGAGCCAAAGCTGCTCTACCAAGTCGAATGGAAGCAGTGCCATGGCTCAAACATTAGTAAAATGAACGAGTCGTACGAAAGTAGTATCACTCAGTCGATCGAAACCGGTACCATTGAAACGAGTGTCATGGGTACCAGTGATCCAAGCTCAAGCATCGAGAACCACTTCTACCTATACTGCGATGGAACTGATGATAAGTTCGTCATCACTCGAGCTCGTGTGATAGGATTCCTGCCGATCGAGGCAAATGCTTTTTCGCACACAGTTAGGGTTAATGTTCTAACAGGTGCGATGAAGGTGATAAAGATAAAGTAGAGATTTCTAACCCTACTACCAAGGCATTAGAAACAACTGCCACCGAACAGAATACGACAACTACCGCCGAACAGGATTCAACAACTACGTGGAAAGAAACTACGGCAGCGACGGTTCCACCGGGATATCACCGCTACTGTCGGAGGACTAGGGTATATACTGTTGTCGATACCCCGACATCTGCGCAGACAATTAGTCTCAGATGAAGTACGATGCCTTCAGACAACTACTGGTGTGTTAGCGGTGACGAGCGTTGCCGTAGTTTCAATAGGAGTTCGGCAGGCGACAGCCAGCACAAGTACGCTGCCAACTACGGAGAGGGAGGCAACGGTTACACGAGCCAACCATAGTAAGACAGAAAACCGTATCAACGTTTATCGAATAAAGCCTGGGACATACTTCTTCTTATGTGTGTTTCTTTTAGTACTCTCATTACAACTCGGGATCTCATTTAGTTGCCGATTTGGCAGACGAGAGATCACTTCAGGGCCTGAGCACATATTCTCTGATGGTCACGAATCTGTATGTCTATCGTTGAAGTATATTCCGCATTACTCTTATTGTCTCCTTCATGAATTCAAGCACATGCATGCTAGATAGTACGCCACAACAGCTCTCCAGTCGCCGATTGCCCCAGTTCGCCATCAAGTAACTATAGTACAATAAAGCTCACAGAGTCACTGGTAACATCACTGTATAGTCGCAAAGAATTCGAGTGCTTCACATAGTATACACACACACACACACACACACACACACAGAGACACAGACACAGACACACACACATACACACACACACACACACACACACACACACACACACACACACACACACACACACACACACACACACACAC